CTCAGTACAGTATTACAGTCCGCACAGTCTGAAAATAAACTTCTTGCTCTTTGGTTTTATACCTCAAATTCCTTTCTGTCTCCAAACATCTATTTCTTAATTCTAATGCATGAAAATATTTCTTCAGTTACCTCCCCACTTTTCTGTCTACAGAGAAAGGAGGGCAATTTGTGGCCATCACAACCCACTCCACTGTATCATTAAATCTAATCAATGGACAGCAAAAAAGGATTTACATAGTTGAATTAAGCAACAACACCAACATCCAACTGGGGAAAATGATTAGGTTTCCCTCAGCCTCCCAAATCCAGATTCTTATGTGAATGAATCAGTTGTTTTGTAAAATCTTGCTCACAGCAATTCTTCATCTATTAAACTTGACTAACCTCTCTTTACCTTATGCTTTTAAAAGGAGAACAAAGTCAGCATCTGTGTACTTTATCTCTCTCTATTCAATGCCCAACTCCTACATATGCATCAGCTTCTCTTGGGCACACACAAAGTGATAAGAACAAGGAAAAAAATTGCTGCCCAGGTTGTCCTAATGGAAAAAATACATCTTTGTTTCCTATAAAACCTAACCGACTTAATTTCCATGTAAACCCAATTTCATTTAGGATGTGTCTGCCCAGTAACCAATCCCATGCCTATTCTTTCTTATTGTAGTTTCCTATGTGCTAGATTAGAAATTGCATGTGAGTAATTTCTTCAACATGCTGAATCATGTAGAAAAGCAACTCCTATTAAATAGAGATTGCTGCCAGAGTACAGCTATATAATGAATTCAAAATCAGTACCTTTCCTTGTGAAACAAGCTAACTTTTCTAAAGTGTCTCATTCAGAATTTTCAGAACATGTTGAGGTTACTTTTAGGAAATAACTTCTGGATCGGCTTCTTGTTCAAAATGACTGCTAAGGAGACACACCAGTCATATATATTGGAATATTACCTGCTCCCCTGCCCCCCCTTCATTAAGCCCCTTGTTGTCTAGAATGCTTGGGCTTAAAGGAATTCTTGGAAATATAAATGTTCCTTGAATTTTGCAATTTATTAGCTCTTCATTCTTTAAAAATTAAGATCCCTTTATTATTATTTTTAAATGTAAAGGGGCAGATGGGCACAGTCTGATTGTCATTAAGAGGGGTGCTATGAACATAGCAGAAGTTGAAAAACATCCATTTTCCTTTGTACATCACTAGAGGATTGGGGAAATTTCCTTACCCCCAACTAATCAGGTACTGATTCATTCCTGGGAAGAATATTTTAGAGAGCTATATACAGACCCCGACTACGTAACTAAGGAGCGTCAAATTAGTTTGGACCAAACTCCTTATTGGCCCCCAGTTACACCAGGAGAGATATCCCGGTTGACCAGTATTGAGGTATTCCCCGTTAGGAGAGTGAGTGCACTCAGGGAAATGTAGTGAGAATGGTGTTGAATAACACACATCCAGCATACAGATACACTGAATAGTAAAATGTAGGTTTTACTTCCAGTAAATGGGTAAACAAATTCCAACAAACAGTCCAAATCATACACGGTTAAAGCAGTTAATATCAGTCCAGGGATAATCCAAAAACGAAGTTAAGTATCATAAACAAAGTTCAGTAAATGGAGTTTGCTAACAGTTGCAAGACTCACAACAATCCAAGCAGAACGACAACCAGGCAATATGGCAAAACAGGAAATGCAAAGAGAAAGAAACCACATTTCTGGCTCCATCTTATGGCCATTGGAGGAACCTCAGCCAATCACAATTACAGCATTCTCTTAAAGATACAGTATTAAATTACTATCCTGGTTTATATATTTCCAACCCAACTGTTAGGTGACTATCATTCCTAACAACCAGAACGAGCTAATAAGGCACCAGGAGCTGATAATGTCCTGCCAGAAATAATCAAAAAGAATGCCAGTTGGTGGGCTCCACTTTTAGTCTCTCTGTTTACATTTAAAGATAAAACGGGCTGTATGCCAAGAGATTGGGGAGTAGCAATTATCACACCAGTTTATAAAAAAGGTAATAGAAATGATCCAGGCAATGATAAACCTATTAGCCTTCTGAATGTTATTAGTAAATTGTATGCCAATTTCTAAACTATAAACTTCAGGATTGGCTAATATCTGGGGGGATAATCAAAGATGAGCAAGCTGGTTTTAGAGAAGGAAGATCATATTTTGGTACTTCAACATCTGTTTCAAAAATACATAAAAAAAAAATCCTCGCTTTTTGTGGCCTTCCTTGATTTTAAGCAGGCCTTCAACTCAATATCCAGGAACACTCTCTGGGAGGAATTAAAATGCACTACCATCAATAAGCGCCTCCTTTTCCTCATACAAAAATTGTATGCTAATTCCACCTTGAAAGTGAGGTGTAATCCTCAAGGGACTTTAACCGGTTCAGTAAGGGTACAAAAAGGGGTACAGCAAGGTTGCATCCTGTCCCCCTCCCTTTTTAACTTCTATATTAACTCCCTGATCAATCTCTTACAGAAGTCTGATTTACATCCTCCTAATGTAGCACAATATAAAATTCCAATTCTCCTATATGCCGACGATGCTGCTATAATTTCACATACTCCCATAGAACTGAAGACAGCAATTATGGCAGCACTTGAATATTGTACACAGAATAAGCTGGTCCTTAACTTTGACAAATCAAAAGTTTTAGTTTTTGCTAAAAGACCTAGACAATACTCCTGGAAAATAGAAGGACATAGTTTAGAACAGGTTAGGACATTTAGATACTTCGGGGTGGTTTTCCACTCACAAGGAACATGGAAAGCACACCTGGATCACACATTGCAAGCAGCCTATAGATCCTCAAATGCAATTAAACATTTTTTTTTACACCGGTGGAGGGCAATCAGTACTTGTGGCCTCAAAATTTTTTGAGGCCAAAACATTGGCACAAATTCTATATGGGGCACAAACAGGAATCCTTGTAAAAAAAGACTTGCTAGAACCTATACAAACCAAATTCTTGCGAGACATCTTAGTTGCACCCAAAGGAATTCCAAATGTCCAGTTAAGAATCGAGACAGGCATGCCTCAAATTGAGGTAAGAGCTTGGAAGATGGCGATCATTCATTGGCTAAAAATGCATTTCTTTCAGAGGGACTGATCCTGCTAGTACTGACTGATAACTACCCCTCCCCCTGGAAGCACAAGCTGGGCTCCTATGGGCTCTCACCAATTTTCTTAATGTCCCTAGACTTTGACCAAGCAAAGCAAGTAGTAATCAATAGAATGAAGGACATGGAGTTGCAAGAAGAACTAAATAGGTTGGCTTGCCACAGCAGGGACAGAATCAAACAGGGAGTGTGGGAATCGGCAAGATATCTAAATGATCTAATCTTCCCAAAACAAATCATAGATTTCTTCAGAGCCAGATTTAATATTTCCCATTCCTTCAGGGCAGGTGTAAGAAAACACCAATAGCAGAACGGGTATGTATATGTGGTAAAGGAGAAGTTGAAGGTATCTCGCATGTTTTATTGTACTGTGAGTTATACAGAGTTTATAGGTCATTGTATATTCTCCCCTTAGTAGAGAGATTGCCAGGGAGGGCAGACAATTTTTAAGTAGGCTTTTTCCTCCAGGACTCAAACCTGGCTATTATGCGTGCAGTGGTAAAATTCTGTGTTACTGCAGTGTCTACAAGAAAAAAATTGATTACAGAATTATAGCTGTCAATTTGTGCCAATTTTTGGAGATAGAACAATCTTTGGAAAATGATATTTACACACCTACTTATTGGCTCTCCACTTATATAAACTAGGGAGTGACCCTAACTGTTTGAGAACATGTATTTTCTTAACAGGGATGTTTTTATCCACTATTAATGTATTATAATGTGTCAGTACTATTTTTTTATATATATTGTAAATACTGATGACTATTGTTGGTCTAAGACCGTAATAAAGTTATATTCTTCTATTTTTCCATCTACCTTTGGAATGTTAACTATGAAACTGTTCCTGTTTCAACTTTTCTTTGCTTTACAGACCTGCAAAGATCATAAATGTGAAGATTGATTGTAAAATTACTTTTTCATCACTGTTGTAACTGTGAATAGTTGCTAAATGAGGCAATTGCTAAACAAGGACTACCAACAATAAATTTACTGTTGCATAAACTGTCTCCAATCACAATTTCTTTGTCAGAGGATTATAGCCCTGAGGATGAGAAAGAGAGCTGGGAGAAAATTATCTATATCTGGTTATATTGTTAATTTTGGCTGAAATATTGAAGGTTTGAAAATGAATGGAGGCTGTGTTTACATTTAAGAAAGTTTGAACATAATAATATTAATTCTTTTGTAAGAATTCTCAGTAACTATTTCCTAGCAAAATCAATGTTTTTAAGGAACATGTGAGGAGAGGCAGAGTATACTATGGAGTCCAAACGGCTTTATTTTTTTTTATTTTTTTTAATATTAGCATTTCAGATGTCATATTTGTGTCAGTTTATTATTTTGCTCACAAAGGATTTAGCTTGTCTAATGTGTTTTGATAGCATTATCAAAATATACTCTTTCAGATTTTTTAAATAATGGCAAATATAGTTACAAAATTTGAATTATTTAGGTAATTATTATTTTTCATTAATTAGGTATTGTCTTGTTTCTGTTACATAAACTGTGGGTTATGTAATGTTTCATTTATTTAAATTGCAAGCATTATTTGGTGAGTCTCCAAATGGAAAGTTTATTAAACTTATTGGCACCTGGATGACCTTACATAATGCAAATTCAGTTAATTTTAAGTAGTTTTTGTAAAAAAAAAATGGTTGTAATGGTTGCACCTGTTGTGTTTTCCTTCTTATGGAGGATAATGAAAAAAGGGGCTGCTTTTACAAATGTATGGGACAGAGAATTGCTCATGGAACTCTTCAGATACCATGGTGATGGTCTTAGTATCTTTGACTATCCACAGTATAGTATCAATGCTTTGCAATTAAGTGTGCGATAATTATCTTGGTTTGCTCTATTTGCAGATGCTGCAATGATGGAATTGAGCTGCACTGAAGCACCTCTTTATGTAAGTTCCACAACTTTAGACTTATGCCCTTTTCGTTTGTTTTGAATAGAGGCTTATTGAAAGGCGGCATGAATGAAGCAAAATATTGTGTCTTGCTTGACAGAATCTGAAAGCTATTGAATGCTGCTGTCTCATTCTAACTGGGCCATGCCTTTTATGTGCACTGTTTCTCATTGTTCTTGAGGTAATTTTCAAATTGTGGTATACAGATATTTGTACTTAAAGATAATATAACCTAGTTTGTACTTAAAGATAATTTAAACCATTTTAAAGTTAAATCATATTAGGACAGAAAATATTTAAATCACAAAATATAGACATCATTGCAAATCTACCCATTATCTTAATAGCTCCACTCAAATGAAGAACTTCAAACCACTACTTCATAGTGAAAAGCTACTGCTTGGATAGTCCATGATATAATTGGTACCATTAGAGCAGAATTATTACCCCCTTTATTTCTCCCAGCACAATAAGCAGGAGACACTCAATGCAACTGGGCTAATTTATAGTGTGATGAAGTGAGTAAAGTAACAGGTATTACAGGAGGGCCTATATAACCATTAAGTTTGGAATTTAAAAGAATGAACTATGCATGGAATGGATGAGAGGAGAGCACTCTCTGGAGTTGAAGTGATGGTAGACTCTGAATTAGGAGTATCTTTAACACACATACATTTATTTGCAAGGCTGCTTTGACAATTTTTAAAATAATGTTTCTTACCATAGTGAAAATATGGTTTAGAAAGGTATGTTTCTCCAGAAATGTAATCTGATATTTAGTGCATGATTTTTTCTTGCTGTATCTGCCTCTTTTCTATTTTTGTAATTGAGGTTGAATTAAGCTAATTTTAATAGCTCTGAGCTTTAATGGTCTATGTATACTTGAACGGCAAGATGCAATTTTTATATGAATAAATTAGTTCCTGTAGTTCAAATAGGGAAATGTAGGCAAAAGTAACAAGATACCAAATTCTGATAGAAGTCCTGCGACTCTGTTGAATGACCATCTAATATCTTCATTCTTCCCTAGCCTGATATAATCAAGGATTTTATCAGATTAAAGAAATTTTAAAGCACCTGCTTTGGAATAGTTGCAATTTTTCTGGGGATTAAAAAGAAAATTTAATGTAAAAAATGAATGCATGTTTATATTTCATTGTATTTTATAAGAAAACATATATTTATAAAAATAGATTAATTAAGAACTTATTTTTAATCTCTAAATATTTTTAATGTGTCTATGTTGAGAGAAGTAAATTAACCTGTATAATCTTTTAAATTTGACTTTAGTATTTTACTTAATTGATGTATCTTAACATGAAGATACACTCTAGATGTGTTAGGTTAATGGTATATTATCTGAAAGTAATGGCAGATTGGGGAAGGCTAATCAATCAGGCTTGGTTAAGGTATCAGTTCTAAATGCATTCTACTAGCAAGAATGACACGCTAAGCATAATGGTTCAATTCATATAGATGTTAAATCAGGGTTTGAATCATTTTTGAATCATGGTATATGAAGCAAGCCATAATGGTCAACTGTGTTGAATTACAGTTCTTGCAGTCTTTTGCCACTGGCCAGCAAGATGTTGAAAAACAAAATGCTCTTTAATGGATGATAAATTAAGAACAAACAGATCAAATTTTGTACTAGATAACGGTTGAAACAAGTCATGAGCTTGACTGCTAAATGGCATTTTTTGTGCATGACATTTTGTTTTTTTGTCGTGATTTGTATCATATCCTTCAGAAACTACCTGCAGCAGATCACAATTGACCATGATGGCTTAGATGGCATAAGTAATAGCCCCAAAACATCTAGATGGTAGTAGAAGTGAAGGGAGGGAACCATCTCCACTAGATAGAGTGAAATGTGGAAACTTTGTTTTGATAACATAATGGAATTAATATCTACCAGTAAATGATTGGGGAATTGTTTATAATTTATTACATAGAGAGTAATACTGTTGATACTACAATTATTTTTTAAATATGTAGCTTGACTATACTGCTGTTACTTAGGTTGTTGACTATATTTTTAAATCAGTTACATTTCTGTTCAAAGTTGTATAAATAAGAAAAGAAATCCTGTGGTAAGATGGGCAGCCAACAGAATGTCCAGTAAAAAGAAATAGAATAACATATTATAATGATGAGTATCCTTTGAAAATCTTGGATCACAAAATCCATCATTCCTAGACTAGTAAGCACAGCCAGTGGATCAGAGGTGCTATTCAGCCAGTTCTCACTTACTCGGGCGAACTGGTAGCAAAAATTTGGCGTGGGTCGCCGAACCGGTAGCAACATCTAGCTGGCCACGCCCCCAACCTGGTCGCCCAGTTTCCGCTCACTCGCTTGCCCCACCCACCCGATGCTCGCTGTCCCAGTTTAAAGGAGGACTGCTCCCCTGCCTTAGCCATGCATTTCCAAGCAGCCACTTGAAAACACATGACTGTGGGCGGAGCAGCGGTCCGTTAACCTGCAAAACTGTTCCAAGGCTGGATTCTTCATGGATACTAGAAGTATCGCTTCCCCTTGTGAGTGAAGTGCCTGGAGCGAGAGGGAAAGAACACTCGGGGGGGGGGGGGGGGAC